TATTAAATGCCTATGTTTCACACTATTGTTGTTGTTTCAATTTTTCCATTCTTATTTAGATGTTATTTAGATGTTTGCTTCAACTACAGGTAGAATAGAAGTCACCAGAAGACATCAGTATTAAGTGGTCACTCAGTGAAGGTGAAATAATCAACTTTAAATGGGGTAAAGTTAAGATCAAGATAATTTTATGAATTAATTGACAGACTGCTACTGGCATCGTTGAAATTTCAAGCTGAAACTCAAGTCAATTCTCTCAGAATATCAATTGGTGCAATATGGACTTTCAAGACACACTAATCAAACTAAGTATTATGTAATTTCACTTAATTTATAATTTCAAAAGTTTGAAAGAGAATGAATGAAAGTTAAATTTACCACAATGAATCTTTTAAATCATAAAACACTCTTTTTTCAGTTTTACTCATTGTCTTTAGTCTTTAGTATATAGCTGGATCATAAAGACCGAATATTTCGGTAGATAACAAGCAATTGAGCTGTAAATTATGTCCCTATCTGCTCTTTCAATATATATATATATGAATTATGAATTTCATTGTTTTGCTCGTGTTTAATATATTACATTAGCATGTCGGATTGTCTTTTGATGGATGTTCTGTCTGAAATTTATATTTTATCACTCTTTTCTTCCCCTCCAAAATGATACCTGATACCATGAAATTTACTAGCTGAGTACATGGAATGATAATACATATACTATATCTTTATATACTCAATATTCAAAGTTATATTATAGTACCGTTGTTACTGATAATCTTATTGTTTATAAAGCGCCATAATATACCAATTTAATAACTGTGATTACATAATCCATGATTTTTAAAATGCCACTAAAGCAACAGCCAAATAGTTAATAGTATGAGGAAAAAGCTTCATAATAATTTATGAATAACTATCTATTCAATAAGTTCAGTTATAAATGATTTAAAGCATGATCAAAATTTGCATTTTTTTAATTCAGAAATAAAGGCAATTTTATAATTTTTTCATAAACTTTGAAACAAAAAATCTTCAAAAACACCAAAAATTCAAAAGCAAGAATTTTCAAAAACAAAGACACGGAGCATAATGCCACAGCTTCACAGCCAGTTATAGTGTATTAATTAATACAATATTATAATATGGTAGTTTTGATGGTACTTATATAAATTAATGGACATATTTAATTAGAAATATTTCGCGAATTAAGAGTAACGTCCTTAATATTCAATATCTAGTGCGTAGTACTTCATTCAATTTGCGTTGCCCAATACAATATTCAGACAGTTTAACGTCCATTTAATTTTGCGGTCACTGTTGAGATGTTGAGATCTTGGTATTGTCCGAAGTGCCTGAATTGTTGGTCTTGTCAGATCTTTGTAATCGGCTCCAGAATATGTACCCCGGATTCTGACATTTCCTCCTCCCTCCACCCTCCACCCTCCGCTTTGAAAACCACCTCCACCTCCACCGAGAATAGAGTCCGAATGTTCCACCGAAATTAGAAAAGTGAAAGTCATTCAAATGGATTCCCAGTCATTGTTTAGATTAACAGAGTGGACAATTGATGGAGGTTGGAGGTCCAATTTACGAGGTTATGAATTTTTTTTTGTCTATGTCTACCTGAGAAAAAAACAATAAATAGTTTGTAGAAGACGTTTATTTATCATTAATTCTTTTACTATACTTGCAATAATATACTTTTCAAATTAAATCAATATATTATAAGAAAAATCAAAATGTGTATTGCCCATCATAATCCATCTGTTCAAGTGACAGCTGATCATAGAATTGAAATTAAACAGAATGAAGTCCCTGAATTGAAACCTGGTGAAGTTTTAATTCATCCAAGAGTTACAGGTATTTGTGGTAGTGATATTCATCTATGGAAACATGGTCAAATTGGTGATTTGAAAGTATTAGATAACTTGGTTTTAGGTCATGAAGCTGCTGGTGAAATTATTGGTGTTGGTGATGAAGTCAAAAATGTTGCAATTGGTGATCGTGTTGCAATTGAACCTGGTATCCCTTGTAATGCTTGCTTTTTATGTCGTCAAGGTGATTATAATCTATGTCAAGATGTTAAATTTATTGGAATGTACCCACATGCTGGTTCTATGCAAAGATATTTGGTTCATGATGCAAGATATGTCTATAAGTTACCAGATAACATGACTTATGCTCAAGGTGCTTTGGTTGAACCAGTTTCTGTTGGTTATCATGGTGTGGAAAGAGCAAACTTAATCTTAGGTCATGGTGTTATGATTGCAGGTGCTGGACCAATTGGTTTAGTTACATTGTTATTAGTTAAAGCTGCAGGATGTACACCAATTGTTATTACTGATTTAAGTGAAGGTAGATTAGCTTTCGCTAAAAAATTAGTTCCAGATGTCATTACTTACAAGATTGATCCAAAATTAAGTCCTCAAGAAAATGGTGCTCAAATTAGAAAAATATTTGGTGATACTGAATTGGAAGCTCCTTCAAGAATTTTGGAATGTACAGGTGTTGAAACAAGTATAATTACTTGTGCCTATGTTGTCAGAAGATCTGGGTTATTGATGATTATTGGTGTTGGTAAAGATACATTTAATAACTTCCCATTCATGCAATTATCTTTTGCTGAAATTGACTTAAAATTTAGTAACAGATATCATGATACCTGGCCAACAGTAATCAACATGATTTCAAATGGTATAATCAATGTTGATGATTTAGTCACTCATAGATTTGAATTGGAAAAAGCAGATGAGGCAATTGCCTTAGCAAGTGATCCACGTAAAGGTAGTATTAAAGTTTTAATTGAAGATATGCAATCCAAATTGTGAATTATTAATATGTATATAACTTAATTTAATGATATTTGAATTTTGAAAGAGTATATATTGTAGAATCAAGAGTTCAAGACATTTAAAGGCCTGTGGCACTGTTTGTGGTTCAAAAATCAATTAAAGCCGGCCATAAATACATAACAGACTCAATATTGAACCAAAAAAACGGTCCAGTTTCTGCAGTATATTTTTATGAGAAGAGATAATTATTTTTAAATCATAATTTAAATCCATCAGATTTCTACATCCATCATTAAATTTCAAAACGTAACTCATTAATTAATAATGCAGATTATATAGGTCTAAAAGATTATACAATAAAACTTAATCAACACTTATTTTTGGAAAATACCAGTATTTTCTTCATGAGAGGCGGTTGCTTTTTCAATATCTTCAGCAAATTTACCGTGACTATATCCAAATGGTAAAATCTTTGCTTGATGAACAACATCCCAAGGTCTTCTTGGATCAGAATTCTCGAAAATGATATCCATTTCTTCCAATGTTCTACCAGCAGTTTCTGGATATAAGAAATAGACAACTGGAATCATCAAAAGATTAATGACAGCAAAGATAGTGTATGTATAAACACCAATATTAGCAAAGGCAACTGGTGTGATCATAACAACCATAAAATTGAAAGACCAATTGGCAGCTGTTGATAAACCATTGGTAGCAGCTCTAACATGTAATGGGGCAATTTCAGCTGGATATAACCAAGTCATACCTAACCAACCAATTGCGAAAAATGTATTGAAAACGAATAAGAATACAGCAGCTGCAATACCTGCGGAAGAATTTCCATGATTAGCAGCCCAATTTGTACCAGTTAATATGGCCATAGTTCCAGCTTGACCAGCAGCACCGAAAAGCATAAGCTTTCTTCTACCAACTCTTTCAATAAAGAAATATGCAACCCAAGAAGCTAAAAAGTATTCTGTACCATTACAAGCAGCTAAAATTCTTGAATTAAAAGCAGTCATACCAATATAAACTTCAAAGACAGTACCAGCATAATAGGTAATTAAATTGATACCAGTAATCTGTTGCATAACTTGATTCCAAAAGGCCAATGAAACTCTATGAAAAGTTCTCCCAGGACCCATTTTGAATAATTGTTGAAATCCATTTTTAGCCCCATCAGATACTTCTTTAGCCAAGGCAGTTTGAACTTCTTGAACTTCATGTTTAATATAGTCATCATTATGTGGAATACCTTCCAATGCAGAAAAAACTCTAATTGCATCTTCAGTTCTACCAACTTTTAATAACCATCTTGGTGATTCAGGTAATCTTAAAATAATTGGAATAATTAAAACAGGGAAGAAGATTTGGAAAGCAACTGGAAATCTCCAACTTGCAGAACTTTCATGGCGTAAGAAATAGAATGCAAAATCAACCCAATAAGCAATTGTAATACCACCAGTAATCAAGGCACCTTCAACCATCACTAATTTCCCTCTCTTGTCAGGTTTTGCACACTCAGATTGCCAAACTGGAACCGTGGACGTATTCATACCATTACCCACACCAGCAACAATACGACCAACCAATAATTGTGCAGTAGAATAAGAAGCAGTTTGAATAATAGCACCAACAATCATAATCCAACAACCAACAAAGATGGTCTTTCTACGACCAACTTTATCACCAAACCACATTGTAAATAAAGCACCAGCAAGACACCCAATTTCATAAACTGCAATAACAAAACCTTGATAAGTTGATTTTGATGGATCATCAACAACATCAATCTCCGGGAAAGTTTCTCTGAATGGTTCTAAAGTTAAAAGTGAACCCATCAAACCTTGATCATAACCAAATAAAAGAAACCCAACACCTGCAACAGTTGAAACCACAGTTGATAGCTTTTTACCAGACATTCCTAAAAAGCTGTGATAAATTGGCTCTTCATCAGCATGAGCAGCAAAAGCTTGTTCAGTACTGCTCAAATCAGCAGGAACTGAAGCTTTCTCATCAGCTAAGCCATTATATTTCTCAGAGAAACTCATAATGTAGTTAATTTTTATTGAATAATATAACCAAACACGAAGAATTCATCAAGAAGAAATAAAGATTATCCAGTGTATTTATACCTCTTGTGCATCTTTTACTAAAAATGTGATTTACGACATATCTTTCGAGACGTCATTGAAACAAACATTTCCTAAAAAGGTGACAATATCGTTACGTTCTTCAAGCCTTGCCGAGTGCCCACTCAAAATGTCCATTTTTACCTGGGGTTTGCGGGCAAATTGTCCAAAGTCCAGAACCTCCACCCAGCCGCTGTGCATCGGAGTACATTTTTCCTGTAGCCTTTTTTTCTGGGGAATCCTGATTTTTTCTTCGTGTAATTTTATGGGGTAAACATTTCTGAAAAGAGTCACGGATTATTGTCCAGAAACATTTACGAGAGCAATTGAATTGTTGAATTGTAAACCAAGAATACAACACGATAAGAAACATGTATACATATATAATGACTTCCTCTCTCAATCCGATTAATAAGAATACTGTAATAGACCTAATATTGTAGCTGTTGGGAATCAAATAAACCTATATTCATATAACTTGTTGTTGAGAAGACAGCGTGATTGCAATCAGCACGGCCCGTTATAATCAATTGATTCAATCCAATATATGCCAGAAGAGTTAAATATAAAACGTACGATTATATTGGTTTCTATATAATACTTCTAGCTTGGACGTTGAACCGGTTAAAATTTTTTTAGACGACATCATTACAGAGAAATATGACCATACCAATTAGAAAAGATGAAGATGAAGAAATTTTTTCGTTTATTTCAAATGAATTTCACGATGAATTACCTCGTCCTTCACCTCCAAAAAAATCTGTACAAGAGCTTTTTTCATTAACGGGGAAAGTTGCAGTCATCACTGGTGCTTCTAGAGGCATTGGTTTAGCTATTGCAGAACAATTTTCCCAAGCAGGTGCTTCATTAGCTTTAATTGATTATCTTGATTGTTCGAAACAACAATTAGATTTAATGAATGATGACAATTTAGTGAAATCTTATCAATGTGATGTTAGTAAATCAGATCAAGTTGAATCAACAATAAGTAAAATTGAACAAGATTTTGGTACAATTGATATTTTTGTTGCGAATGCCGGTATTGTTTGGAAAACTGGTAATATCATAGATGAAACAAATGATAATTATAAAGGTTATGATCAGTTAATGGGTGTTAATTTAAATGGAGTTTATTATTGTGCAAGATTTGTTGGTCGTATTTTCCGAAAACATGGTAAAGGTTCATTAATAATTACAAGTTCAATGTCTGCTCATATTTCAAATGTACCAATGAATTTAACTCCATATAACGTTACAAAAGCTGCAGTTAAACATCTAGCTAAATCTTTAGCCATTGAATGGGCTGGTTTTGCAAGAATCAATTCAGTTTCACCTGGATATTCAGATACAGGATTAAATGATCATTTATCTAGAAGTTTTAGAGGTAAAATGTGGTCTTTAATACCTTTAGGTCGTGAAGCTCAACCTTTCGAAATTGCAACAGCTTACGTTTACTTAGCTTCAGATGCAGCATCATATGTAACAGGAACTGATATATTAGTTGATGGTGGTTATACAGCTATTTAGAACTTTAACTAACAATCTTTGGAGTTGTATGATTTTTTTCATAACTTGTAATTTCTTCAACTTTAGAAGCTGATGTTGATTTTTCATCAAATTCATAAGTTAACCATTCTTTTGCTAATCTTCTTGCCAATTCTAATCCAATAACTCTTTGACCCATACATAAAACTTGACAATTATTACTTAAAATACTTCTTTCAACACTAAAAGAATCATGTGCAGTAACAGCTCTTATACCATCAACTTTATTAGCAGAAATTGCAACACCTAAACCGGTACCACAAAATAAAATTGCACGATCAGCTTCACCATTAGCAACCAATTCTGCAGCTTTAATTGCAACTGATGGATATGGTGTATTTGAACTACTTGAATCAACACCTAAATTTATAATGGAAGAAACTGATGGATTTTTAGATAAATCTTTAGCAACTTGTTCTTTATAATCATAACCAGCTTGATCTGAAGCAATAACTAACTTGTATTGTTTAACCATTTTTGAATTTTGTTTAAATTAATAAAGAACTAATTATAATATAAAATTTGAAATGTCCCTGAATTTAAATAATATATATTGAACCAGATTTTTTTTTTTTTTTTGAACCATTATAATATCACTCCGAATTTCCTCCACCGAGACCTCCACCGAGATTATGTCCATTGTCCACCCGCCCACCTCCACCCGGAATTGTGTCTATATATAATTAAACAAAGACAAATTTCAATGGAACCGTTTAAAATCAATGACTTCTCTTCTCTCCACCGATACCACAATGGGAAATAAGTACTTGGTGGTTCATTAATTGGTAAAATATAAACTATAATCCTTTAAATACTCATCATGTTCTTATACTTTTTGTTTTTCTTTGAATTATATCACCTTTTCTCATAGACAATATCAAATACTATGTCAAATAAACATTTTTTACCACAAGATCCAAATAAATTGGTTCCAAATTGCTTGAAAGCTTTAACTTATGAATATCCATTTTTATCAATATTGGAAAAAGAACGTGTTGTTTTCAATAATCAATTTGATAGTTCAAAAGTTTCATTAATTAGTGGTGGTGGTTCAGGTCATGAACCTGGTTTCTATGGATTAGTTGGTCCTGGTATGATTTCAGCTGTTGCTCATGGTGAAGTATTTGCATCTCCAAATTATAGAAATGTTAAAGCTGCTGAAAAAATTACTCATGAATTGAAAGGATCATCAACATCATGGGGTGGTTGTATCTTTATTCTAACAAATTATACTGGTGATAATTTATATTTTGGTATGGCTGCACAAGATTTGATTGCAAAATATGGATCTGATAAAATTAAAATCTTGAGAGTTACTGATGATGTTGCAGTTCCAAGAACTTCAGGTGCACTTGTTGGACGTCGTACTTTAGCTGGAATTACAATTGTTTCCAAATTAACTGGTGCTGCTTCTGAATTGAACTATGGAATCAATGAAATTTTTGAATTTGGTCAATCTGTGATTGATTCAATTGCTTCAATTAATGCTGGATTAGATCATGTTCATATTTCTGGTCATAAATCAAATGAAGATTTTGGAAAATTGAAACCAAATGAATTAGAAATTGGTTTAGGTATTCATAATGAACCTGGTGTTTTAAAATTAGATCATATACCATCAAATGAAGATCTTGTTGATAAATTATTAAAAATGATTTTAGATAAAGATGATAAAGAACGTGGTTTCTTCAATTATTCTCCAAATGATAAAATTGTTTTATTGATTAATAATTTAGGTGGTGTTCCAATTATTGAAGAAAAAAACATATTATTCACTTCATTACAAATTTTGAAACAAAAATATAATATAATACCTTCAAGAGTTTATACTGGGAATTTTATTACATCTTTTAATGCTCAAATTTTCACAATTTCATTATTCAATGTTACAACTGCAGTTACTAAAACTTTTGATTTAGAACAAATTTTCAAATTTTTAGATCTTAAAACAGAAGCTGTTTGTTGGAGTAATGTCAATTATAATCATGGAATTGATTCAATTTCAAATGATTCTCAAATTATAACCAATTTTGAACATTATGATGAATATGATAATAAAAAAACATCAATTGAATCAGCCAAAAATTTCCAAATTGATCCAATCAAGCTTCAAAACATTGCATCAATTGCAGCTCAAAGAGTTGTTGATAAAGAACCAGATTTAACTAAATGGGATACCTTAATGGGTGATGGTGATTGTGGATTTGGTTTGAAATTGGGTGCTGAATTATTTTTAGAAAAATTGAATAAAGATGGCATTGCTAAAGATGGATCATTATTAAAAGTTTTAAATGTTTTATTGACCATTATAAAAGATGATATGGGTGGTACTCTTGGTGCAATTTTATTCATTTTTTTGAAAGCTGTGATTAACAACGTTGAACTTTTAATTGAAAATAACTCAAACATAACACCAATTGAAGCTTTTAGTAAATCTTTTAAAGTTGGATTAGAAACATTATATGATTATACAAAAGCAAGAGTTGGTCATAGAACGGTTATGGATGTTTTAATTCCATTTGTGGAATCATTTGCTAAAGATCAAGATATTTTAAAATCTGTTGAAATTGCCCATGATGCTGCTGAAAATACTAAAAATTTGAAACCAAAACTAGGAAGAGCAACTTATGTTGGAAATGTTGATGGTGATTCAATTTTACCACCTGATCCTGGTGCATATGGTATTTATGAAGCTATTAGTGCTTTAAGTTTATCTGTAAAATAGTTTAACAAATTATAGCATTGATTTTTTTTGTCGCGTAAAACATTTTGTCCCAGATTTTTGTCTGATATCGCGTAAAATTTCAACACCGCTTAAAATTTTTTGTCTGTAAAAACTGTAGACTAAACCCACCCCCTCGTTTCGAAATTTTCGTCGGACAAAGAGACAAATCTAAGGACAGTAAATATTAACATAATTACTTGGTGATGATATATTTGAGCTTACACTTTTATACAAAACATGATTCATAGACAACTAGAGATTCAATAAAATTATGAGTGGAAACATAGGGTCATCATTTGTATGTGCTACATGTGGTAAAAATTATTCTAGAAGAGATTTTCTTACGAGACATGAATTGAATCATAAAGGTATAAGACCTTTTAAATGTGAACCATGTAATTTACAATTTACAAGAAGAGATATGCTTGTTAAACATTATAGATCAAACTCTCATAAGAAATTTGAAGAGAAAAATGTCAGTGATACCAGAGCTGGTTCTTCTTTAAAGAATGAAATTACAGATATTTCAAGTCCGAAAAGACAATCTTCACCATCAATTAAATCAGATTCGATTCCTTCAACATCAAATGTGAAAAAATTAAGAATTGCAAATTTTTTAAACGATTACGATGAAAAAATTCATACACCACCTCTTCAACCAACTATAATTAGACCATCTTCTGCTTCTGGTACATTATCTGGTGGTTCTGTCGATGTGAATTTTGGTAATTTGATTTCAACAAATATTGATCCTTCTAAAAATTATGATCCAGAAAATAATTTACCTTCAGGTTATATAAAGAGAAGATTTGCATCTAAATTTGATCAAAAAAAAATTTCATCATCTGAAAATGGAGAAGAACAAGAAGAAAGTCCTAAAGAATTTTTATCACTTTTAGATATGAGTGGTGGGTTTATTGATAATTTACTTTGGTTATTTACAGATAATTTCCCATCAGAAATGATTGATGACGTTAATAACTTGAATAATATTCCACATCCTGAAAGTGAAGTTATTGATGTCGATGCAACACAAAATTTTGATATTGCACCTGCATCTTATGATCTTGCAGAAATTCATTCTCATATGTTTGGACAAAAAAAAGTTAAACTTATAGAATCAACAAGATTGAAAATTTTAGAAATTTTTGATGAAGTTGAAGCTTTAAAAAATGTTTCTTTATCAAGATTTGATGAATATATGGATCTTTATTGGTTTAATTTTGCTCAATCATTCCCCATCATTCATCAAGTTACATTTGATCCAAATGTGGCAAATATTTATTTACTTGTTAGTATTTTGATTATTGGTATGGCTCATACTGCTGATAGGTTAGAATATGAATTATCTATAGTATGGAATAAAAAATATAGGAAAGTCATTAGAGAGGTCATTGATGAAAAAACTCAATTATCTTTACCAACAATGCAAGCTTTAATTTTACATAATTTTTCTGCAAGGAATTTTGGTGATACAACTTTATGTCAAATTTCACAAATTGATCATGGATCAAACTTATTATATTTAAAATTCAGTGGGTTTTTGGATAATTTAGATGAACCAATTATTTCTAAATCAGAAAATACAACAAAAGAGGAATTATATAACCAATGGCAAAATTGGATAATTTATGAAACTTCTAAAAGAACTGTTTTTTTTGAATTTATTTGTGATACTCAACATATAACTTTTAGTAAATTGGAATTATCATCTTTTGATATTAAATTAGAATTACCTTGTTCAGATGAAGTTTGGAATGCTTCAACACCAGAGGAATTCTTTGCATCATATCAAATTCAACCAAATAATTTAGTTACAAGACCTAAACTAAATATTCATAATGATGTGATTGATAATAATGATGAATCTAAAGATGACACGGAAGATAAAGTTACAAAAGTTGTTATGGAAAGATATGTAACAAGTAATTTGAACAATAACAATAAAGTTTTGGGCAAATGGCCAAGTTTTTTTTGGGGTGTGAAATCATTAATGATGGAATATAGAGAGAATCAAAGAGAATTCTCTTTAAATTGTTATTCTCCTTTCACAAGATATATTATTTTGCATAGTTTAATTCGTATTTGCTGGCATACTAGAGGTCATGGTCTTTTAGATTTAGGTATTATATCACAAAATCGATTAAATGATTTTTTCAATAAATTAGAATTGGCATTTGCTAATTGGAAAGGTTATTTTGATTTACATATTAAATTATATGATGATCAAGTCAAAGCAAGAAATGCATTAAGAGAATCTGGTTCAGAAAATACTAATGAACAATTTATGAAAGAATCAGGTGTTAGATCTCAAGTATTATTGAATAATTATGGTCCAACGAATGCATGTTGGGCAAATTTAAGTTTGTTTTACACAGGATTATTCACATTATATGCAGATATAAGTTCACTTTCCAAATTTGCTAAAGAATATGATCGAAAATGGTCATCAGGTAATATTAATAACAATAAAATTAATCAAAATATTAAAGAGATTGAATATGCAAGAAATGATATACTTGTTGAACAATGGGCTGCATCTTCAAATGGGGAGATTGCGGTTGTGGAAGCTTGTAAATTTTTGATTTTAGTTTATAAACATGAAGAAACTATAAATACATTCTCTCATGTTCCACCATCCGTATATATTGCAGTTTTAATTATATGGAGTTTTGAAAAGAAAATTGCCACTTTAAAATCAAAAGCTAATGAGTCTCAACTAGAATTGCAAAATCTTTATCCAGATCCTGATCAATATTTTGATAAAAGAGATTATGTTATTGGGATTGTTGCAAGAAATGATGCAAAACAATATATTGATTTGATTACAAATTTAGCAGATGAAGATGAATCTACAGATGATTCACAAAAAGATAAAATTTTCAAACAAAGACAATACTATACAGTTGGAGTTGTATGTTATGCATTGTTTTTATTAAGACATTGTAAATGGCCACATTCAATTGATATTGTTAAAAAATTGGAACATATTGTGGATACTTTCAAGAAGTAGGCACGGCCTACTTTGAGACCTGCTCATCTAATTTAATGATTAATTTGATTGTATCAATAACTGTAGTTTCATATTGAATTTGTTTTAATCCTAGTTCTTTTTCACTAATACTTAAATCTCTTTTAGCTAATTTTCTATCTTCATTTAAAGTTTTTCCCTTGAAATTCAATTCATCCCAATTTCCAGGGTTGAAGTTTTGGAAATTTTCTAATAATATTGGAATTGAATCATAATAATTTTCAGTACCATCAACTATAACGTATCTATTATTTTCAATACTTGGAGTGGATCTTTTATCAGCTGCTTTAACAGCACCTTTAGCAATACTTCTAACATCAGCATACCATTCAACGCCTCTTTTTGGTTCTTTCCCTTTGAAAACATCATAAAAATGTTTATTATTTGCATCAAAAGATTCATTGTTATCCCAAATATATAAAGGAGGACCAATTACTGTTGGTGGGACAATTATTTTGTACTCAATTCCTTTCAAAGATTTTTGATTCAAAATGAATTTTTCAGCATGAACTTTAGCATATGTATATGCATTTAAAGAGCTTTGAATAGCATCTTCATGAGATAAATTTGCAAAATCTTGTTCAGTGAATACATATTCATGATCATAATTTGGACCTCTAACTGCAATTGAAGATGAAAAATAAACAAATCTTTCAATTTTGTTTGAAGATTTTTCCACAATATCCACAATTGATTCAATTGAATTCTTAGTATATTGAATAATCTCTTTATCGTATTCTTCAGGGGTTGTGGCATTTCTACCAAAATTTTGAGCTGGATGAATCACATTATTAATCTCTGGGAACTTGGTGAATATCGATTCAATTTCTTGTTTGTTGTTGAAATCAACTTCAACAAATTTTAATTGACCAGATTTAAACTCATTTGGGAAAACAGATATTAAATTAGCAGCTTTATTAAAAGAACGTACAGATCCAACAACATTGATACCTAATTGTAATAACTCTTTCACGATATGACCAGCAATAAACCCATTGGCTCCAGTGACAAGTGTTGCGGACATGATATGGAGTATTGAGCAAGTTGATCAGGGGCGGATTAAATTTCCTGGATAGACGTAATGTTTTATACCTTTGATCTATATGCCACAATAGTAGATCTAATCAGATATGCCAAGTACATCTGCCACAATATTTAATATTCATGAGTATTATTTGTTTTGGGATAATTACCGCTTTTGGAACTTTTACCGACATTTTAAATGTACCAGTTTAAAATTGAATAATCTTTACAAGCTAAAATCCTAAAAAACCATGTAAATTGCCGTTGATACATTCAATATTCCAAGAAATTACAGTGTCACATAAATATAAGCTCTTTAAAGCTATGGAATGTTGTTTATTTAAACTTAGATAAAAGATTTCAATTTTGAAACAGATTCAGACGTGTTGATTTATGATTTTTTATTCCTAATAATGCTGCCTATGACACACAACAAACAAGTGTGGCTACTATAATGGACAATGGTACTTATATAAACCTTTTGAAACCTATATGTGTGCTCTTCAATACCAATGAAAACAATGTCAACCAAGATAATGACTGATCCAGCTCCTAATAATGAATCACAAAAAACTTTATTCAGACAATCTAAACCCATCAGGGCATTAAGATCTATGTTTGTTTGGTATCCAGCAAACTATTCAATTGAAGAAAGGAAACTATTGTTTAAATTAGATTTAATCATCTTGGTTTATGGATGTACTTCATTTTTTGCAAAATTTCTTGATCAAACAAATATAACTAATGCTTATGTCTCAGGAATGAAGGAAGATTTATCATTATATGGTAATGAATTAAATTGGTTAAATATTACATATTTTTCAGGTTATGTATTGGGTCAAATTCCATTTCTTTTATTAATGTCACGCCCCAAAATTTCAAAATATGTTTTACCAACTCTTGAAATTTTTTATGGAGTATGTACATTTGGTCAAAGTCGTGTCACAAATGTTGATCAATTATATGCTATTAGATTCTTAGTTGGTTTCTGGGAGAGCCCGTCATTTGGCGGAATTCACTATATATTCTACTACAACGTTTATAAATATTTAAAAAGATATTCTAACTTTATAGCTAAATCAATTGTAGAGCTTAAACAATATTGAATATTTCATGGGTTTCATAAGTTATAACTGTGAATTGAAAACCACTGTTAATTTTTATGCTTCTGGACGGTTTGGAGCAATTGGTTCATGTATTCTTCTTGTATTTTCTCATATTGGTCACTTGCTCTTCGTTTTGCTTTCATTTTTTTCAGTCTTTCTATTTTTGGTGGACGTTGCTGATCTTTCAGCAATTTAAATTCTAAACACTATGGGAATGATATTAGTACTTTTCATGCTCAATATACCTTGATCATATCTTGAAAATTAAGACAACATTTACTTACCTTCTGTGAGTGATTTTCTGCCAGTTCTTTAATCTTGTCACATTTTATAACTTTTTGGTTCTTAAAAATTGTATCATTAAAAAGACCTTTGAAGGTGCTTCCTCCTATATAAACATTTGTTAATTCATAAAGAACAGAACTGGCTTTTTGATCATTCTTGGTATTATGGTTAGTGATCCCGGTTTTTAAGGCCAAACCAATTTGAACAATGATATTCAAGATAAGGTCACCCTTTTCGGTACCCTTCTCTATTTTGAATGTACTTCTAGGTTTAACTGTACTATGTCCAATTCTAACATTTCCCTCTCCAAGTTTTTTATTTGTGATTATTGAATTATAGACTTCTGGTTGATAATATTTTTGCAAATAGTCTAAAGAGATATCTTCCAGTCCTGAATATTTGGTCTATATTAGTATTGTAGCTTAAGATCTTCGCAATAATTCCTTTTTGATATACTCACGTATTGAACATTCATAAATACTTTTGGTCCCGTTGTTGATGGCTTCGTTTTTGCGTTTTGTAACGCTTTCATATTGTTTATAAGCACTCTCTGATCTTCTTGGAAAAGAAACGGCCATTGCACGTCTGACTTGTGATTCTTCAACAACTGCATCACCAGAATCTTTCTTTATAGAATTGATGTTTGAAGGAGTAGCATCACGAATTGATTGATCAAAAGGAAACTGATGTTCTGGAACGAATTTTTCAATTGATTCAGTGTTTGCCTCAACCCCCTCTGTATCTTTGTATTGAGTATGTGAATAATGATCCATTTTGAACTAGGATAAAATGACCAATGAGTTCTTAGCGCTTCAGTAATTTCAATTTTCGTGTTGTTATTTTTGATGTTTAAGCTAGATCAAATTAAGATTCAGTTGGTACATACTACAGATTTTATAATTTCGCGCTTGTTTACAATTATATATTATTATTTCTATAATTTCTACACTTGATTGACAAATAGAACAAACTCAATTAAGAATAAACAACTGTCCTAATACAATACGTCAAATATTGAAAATGAGTCATCAAGATTGTGAGATGGGTCTTGACCCAAATACAGTGCTTAAATTACCAGGAAACACATCAAAACCATTAAGTGAAATAATGTGTGGAGACATTGTATTAAACCAATTCCAAAAACCAATCAAAGTTTTATCCATAAAAGATAAAGTTGTCAAGAATCATTATCAATTGAAATATCGTGATTTTCAAAGTCATCAAATTCGTGAATTACATATAGCTCCCCAGCAACCCATTTTGCTTAAGAGTAGAATGAATCCAGTTAGTTCGGCGGCAATGGTTTTTCATCAAAGTACAAGGTCTACCATACCAAAGTTTCATTATACAAAAATAATTAGAAAATGTATAAATCCAGATGACCAAAGATTATCCATTCCTAATCAAGTTCAAACAGCGTTGAAAACAAAGCCATGTCAATGTGGAGGTCATAAACAAATTCAAGCTAAAATATCCAGAAAAATATCTAAATCAAATGTATTAAATTTGATTAAAGAGAAAAGATTAGGAAATGTCTTCATTTATGATGACGATGAAACAATAATTTACAAGGTAAAGGAATTGGAACAACATTGCTGGTTTAAGAAAAATCCAGAAGAACCACCGTCTGATTATTGCATGGTACAAGCTAAGGAAACTTACGAATATGTCAATTGGTTGAAAAATGGAAATACTGAACAATATTCACCTTATTCCCAACTTTCAAAGGAGGTCTTCTTCTTTTTTGGGCTCTATCTTGGAGACGGTGCACAAAACAACGGTTCAGTAGTGGTTTGTGAATCGCAAAAGGAAGAATTCTTGAAAATTACTGAAGTAATCCCACATCAACTTAACGAGTTATATCCTTCAGAAAAAACCATATATGCATTGAATGCACATCAATCAATAACTCAAATTGATGGTATACGGGAAGGAATTTATATCATGAAATTTTCTAAATACAACAGAAAATCTAAAAAGATTGAACCAGGTAACAACATTGTTTATGATATCATGAGATACTACAGTTGTTTCAGAGAAAAGAATGATCTTGATATCAATAAAATTAGCAATGAATTATCCATAGAGAAGAGATCAAGCATAGTTAAAGGCTTGATCTTTTCAGACGGATGGAAATCATCCAATGGAACGAACCAAGGTATTTGTATATCACAATCTGCAAATGTTCATGGGCCATTACTATCAAAGATTCATTCTTTATGTAATCCATTAAATATTAGGTCATCTCAAGTGTCATTACATGCAGCTAAAAATGAGTTGAGAATTACTTTTTCATTTCAAGAATATCAAAAAGTAATGAAAAAATTCCCTATCCCATTCTATCACTCCAAAGAGCCTAAAGAGAAAGAAATGCCTTTAATTCTAAGAAAAACAGATAGATCAAAGATTTTGGGTTATCAAAAGATTGAAGAAGAACTAAAAGTTAGAGAAATAGTAGTTGAAGGTGATGGCAGTATCCTTGGCTGGAACGACTTGGTTTTGCTTCATAGTAAGTAAATACAATTTTGGATGAAGGTTCAAATTTTATACTATGCTAAACATGTGCAGTGCTATATATGTATAAGAATTTAGCTGATATAATTACACTAGATCCTCAATTGATTGTAGATATCAGATTACGTGATAAACATATAATTGATATATATATATTCAAATCGATATACTACAATTAGATAGTTATATAAGTAGCTATGCAGCTAGAGCCATGAAAATGAATGATAAAAACAATTAATTAAAGCAAATTAGCAAATGATCAATTGTCAAAAAGATCAGTACTAAACTTCTAGCTGCAATTCACAAATCAAGTTCTCAAAAGTAAACAATACTGACCAGCTTCAGATTTATCAATCAAATAAAATTCAAATGATTCTTGTCCATCCAATTCAAAGGATCTAATCACTTCTTCTGCATTTTTTGAGACCTCTCTTTTTTTCAACACTGCTTTTGTGTCTTTTCGTTTTTGAGAATTAAAGGTTTCAGGCTCTGAAATGATCCAATCTCTTCTCTTTTTGGACTTCATGTACTTAGACAATGTTTCTTTTACATCTCTGCCAAAAACAAAGATTATGTACATATCTTCTGGTTTTGAAACACTGTTTTTCTTTGTAGAACAACATATTTGAGAAGCTTGGATGTGTAAATGTGGAGCTTTATTATTCAAAGCCATTATTAAAAGCTCTAATAAATGAATGATATTATAGTTACGACTGCTGAAAACATTTTTATAACTCTTATTGGTATTTTTTCCACTGCTGTGTACGCTATCAATATAACCAGCTATTGCAGTAAGTATATGTTGTTCATCAACTAAGTATTCACCATATATTTTTTTAAATTCTTGAGCCATTATATCACCGTTTACATCATGATCAGCTTTTTCATTCATATTAGCTATGTCAAAAAACATTGTAAGTGGATGTAATACATTGACCTTTGTCAAATGGTAAGTAATTTCACAAAAAGTAGAACCATTTTTCAAATATATATAGAAACAAGCTCTTGATCCATTTTTTCTGTGATCTACTTTTCGTTGAAAAAAATTAATTCCATATGAATTTTGGTTAATGATGTTGTGTTTTTTTTGGTTGATCTTGTTAATTATTTGTACGAGATGCAATCTTAACTCCATATTATCTTCTTCACAATCTTGAGATGGTAGATATGCTAGTAGATGAGTAGGGCTTTGACTTTGGTACTGTGTTATTGACTTGGTTAAGTACATCAACAAGTAGTACTCATCTAAATCACCGTGAGGAAATAACTGATTTTCATAACCCTTGTAATTTTTTGCAAATTCCATATCTTGGTTAGGTATTTCCCAAGCTTCTGTTTGATCATTAAAATTACCTAAATCAGGTGTATTGATATAATAAAGTTCACCGCTCATACTTTCGATATCTATAGCTTCATCACCTGATGGTGTGTTAATGGAAGTTGAAACATCAGGACAATTAGCAGCTAATTCTATATCTTCACAAGCTTTAGAATTTGGATGATCAACAATTGATATAGGTAAAAAGTCTTTATGAAACTTTTCAATTGTGATTGCATCATAATTCTTTCCCTCAGTTTTGAAGAATTTGTTAAAAGTTTTCAACAAAAACGAGCCCGAATGAAATATCAAGGCTTTCTCTTCTTTAGGGGAAATCCCTGACGGGTCCAACGAGTAAACTCTATCCCCAATTGCTTTTATTAATTTCTTTTTTAGAGTTTCATCTTTACAGACCCATTCATATGTAAAATTGATGTTTACCCCTTTAGGATATTCCAATATAGATAAATTGTGATTCTCATCTTGATGAATTAATTTTTCTTTAATTAATTTTGACAATTTTTCACTAATATTATTGCAATCCTTTTCAATATCTTTAGAAATTCTCTCCAATTCATTTTCTAGTTTCAATAAAACATTTCGTTTGAGATCATCACAAGCTTTTGAGCAAAATGTTTTCAATTCTTTTTTTGTTTTCCCTGTTTTGAAAGATTTACTCCTATAACAGGCTCTAATTGTAGTAGATCCCATCTTATCTTGCTGGTCCATATTTAAACAGTATGAGTATAACAAATTGTAATTGTTTGATATGATCTTGAGTTTTTGATGAGAGCCTAATTGTAATACTGGAATAATATTTGCTTCCGCTGAGTTTGACCGCTTGGGGAATAAATTTATCATTTGCTTTCCATTGATTGTGGTTTGGTTTGATACATTAGTCACTGGTTTTGGACCTGTAGGTGTTAAAATCATATCACCTATACTTAATTTCTCTAATTGTATTTCTTCTTGATCTTGATTCAACAATACTGTATGAATACTAAACCCATTTGGTGCTTCTTTGTTTATAACCAATGGGGCTAATTCAGCTCCACAATCAGACTTGGAACTAATAACATTAAGTGAATTGATTGATGTATCATGTAATTGGGGATCTATAATTTGTCCTGAGCTTTCATTCAAAGTTTCATTATCTTGAAGAATTGATGTTGTAGGTTTGAAAAAATTATCAAGCTTTGTCTGATGTAATCCCCCAGATCTATCAGTGACCTTCTTTCTTTTATGACGATTTAACATTCCTGTTGATAGATGAAGTGTGATCGAATAATGAATACTATGTGGTGGCGGCTAATATAATTAAAGATCAAATTAATTTTAGATTAACGCGTCTGGGGTTAAAATTTCAAATCCCAGCTGTGCGTAATTAGCGCTAAACAGTAAACTAGCTGACGTATAAATTTGATGAAAAGTTAAGACGGTAAAAAGACTGAATATTTTTAACTAATTGCACTGTATAAAACAATAATTCTTCAAAGTATTACATTCTGAGTATATTATATTTATAGATAGCGAACTACCAGTAAATTAGCATTATATATTTTGAATATTTGACTCAAAATGTTGTTCGATCAAAAGATGCTCTTGAAAGTTTATCGATTGTGATCTAAAGGTGGGAAAAATTGGTTTCGCGATCTCTTCTAGTGTAGAAAAACATACAATTAATAAAAATGTACTTTCAGCATTCTATATTGTTTTATTCCAAAAATTTGGTTAAGACCATTCAGTGGATTTGGTTCACCACCATTATCTGTTCGTGCTGGTTTAATGTGTATGGGATTAACTCCATATATGTATTTATTATCTGGTAAAACAAATTTTATTAGTGGTATAACTGGTATAAGTTATGAAAAATTAAATATTTTCCATCGAAGTCTTGGTTGGGGAAGTTTATTCCTTGGATTAGTTCATACAATCCCATTCTTGATTCAACCTGTTGCAGAAGGTGGTTATTCAAATTTAAATAAAGCATTTAAAGGTGATATTATTTATACTAATGGTGTATTTGCCATAGTTGCATTGGGGGGTTTATGTTTATTATCAACAGGATTTTCAAGAAATTTATGTCATGAAGTGTTTTTCCATTCTCATTGGATCTTAGGTTTAGTTTATTTTGCTGCGTTAACAAGGCATATTCTCGGTTTATTAAAAGCTGATAATTATATATGGGCAACTTTAGGTTTTTGGGGGTTTCAAATGATTTATCGTGCAATTGTTAAAACAACTTTTAAGCCAAATGTTTATTCATTTAAATCAAAATTAGCCTTTTTAACTCTGAAATTTTTGAAGTTAATATTCCAATTTCAAATACTTATGAATTTAATTGGAAACCAGGTCAACATATATTTATTAGATAACCATCCTTTTTCAATAATATTGTCAATTCCATCATCTAAAAATTCAGAAATCAAATTAATTGTTAAACCACATAAAGGTTTAACTGGAAAAATTTATAATTCACTCCTCAATAATAAAGGTGATCAAACTTTGAAAACCTATATTGATGGTCCATATGGTGGAATGAATAGAGATGTATTAGCATTTGATCAAGTATCATTATTAGCAACAGGGTCAGGAATCACTGTTACTTGGTCATTTTTAGAGTATATTGTTAAAAATTTAGAAATTGGATCTAATATCGTAACAGAAGTTAAATTTGTTTGGATTATAAGATCAATTGATTGTCTTGATTGGATTTCTAAAGAATTGGTTATTAGTTTAAATAAAATTATCGAAATGCAGTAACCCAACTTTTAGGTCTACTTTTACCCAATTTTCGGTCTATAGGTCCATTAATTTAAGCTCCATCGGTCTACCTTTTAACGGTGTCCAGTCTATATACACCTCTGATGTATTCTTACTTGTAGCTCTGTCAGTGTATGTACGATCTCTGATCTATGTAACTTGTAGCTCTTTCAGTGTATACGACTATATTATTTGTATCTCCGTCGTCAGTGTGTACTTTGGTGTTTTTTGTGAAACGAAGTATTTATATTCATCGTCAGTGTATACAATCTATGTAACTTGTAGCTGTGTCAGGATATACTGTTTTACTACTCGTAGCTTTGTCAGTGTATACCTTGGTGCTTGTATACCTTGGTGCTTTCATAGACAAATTTATTTATATTCATCCCACCTCAGTGTTACTTGCAGCTCTATCAGTGTATACGATCCATGTTACTTGCAGCTCTGTCAGTGTGTAATTTAGTGCAGCTTAACTACTTGCAGTGTATACCTTGGTGCTTTCCTTTTCTTAGCCGAAGTTATTTATATTCGTCCCACCTCAAAACAGTGGCTCTAGCCCTGGCTGTGTTTCTTGACCTCTTTCCAAGGGTGGTTTGCTCGATATATTTTGTCTTTGATTGCTTCTCAAGGGAGCTTCGTGTATTCCTACTCTTGTGTATCCTCTGTATAACGCTCTTTCCTGGAGTGTAGCGGTGTATGCCAAACTTCCAATGGGTATCTACTATCTAGTTTTTTCTTTTCGCGAATTTTTGACATTAAGATCAATTTTAGTTTTTTGTTTTGATTGATAATTGTCTGGGGATAACATCACCACGTTGGGCCTTTATTGTTGTGTTTCCGGGGTTACCTTAAGATTGCAGCTTGTGTGGTCAAATGGCGTGACGGTCCTGTGGTCAATATTCATGGTTAGTCTTGGGATGTCGGGTTATTTAATTACGACCATCACTGGATCCCTCCAGGCGTTTCATGAATTCCAATTTCGGCAAAGTTTACTGTTTGATAACTTCCTAAAGCAGAAGATATAGAATAAAAACAACAGTGGTGGTCAATATAGATACAAATTTCCATATCAAACACAGGATCCACTTTGGAAATGAAGAATATTGCCAGCATCACTTGAAGTGGTCTTGGGGATCCGTGGGTATCCAAGAAATGCGTCTTTTGGCGTCATTATTAGGCTCATTCGATAGCTTGAAGGTTTCTGATTCGATCCATCGGGCTAGAATCCTCTAAAACCCACTAGTTCTTGTGTTAGAACTGTTTAAAGATTTTTGAAATTCTACAATTAGCCAATTGAATTAGCCGAAAAATCATCCAAACATGGTATTTTGGGTAATAAAAAAAACAAATTAACCAATAACAATATTTATATATATGAATAATATACATCATCCTTTATCGGTTTATTCATCATATTACAGAGATTATATGCTTCCAATATGCCACCATTCATGCCACAAATCCCCTATGTTGCACCTGAAAACCTTACCTACGATGAATTTCTGGATAGATATAAAGTAGAGTTACAAATGGGTAAAGATCCCAAAACTTTAGACGCCTTTATTAGAATTCTATATGGTGATAGCTCGAAAAGTTTTACTGAAAAGCCATCTAGAGAGTCATTCCCTTTCCCAGTTACAATTTTTGGTGGAATCGATGATCCCAATTTACCTGATAGATGCTTAACTACGGAATTGCTTGCAAAATTTAACTTATATACACCATT